GGTTCTGCAGGTCAATCATTTGGAGCTTTCTTGGCTCCTGGTGTCACTTTAGAATTAGAAGGTGATGCAAATGATTATGTGGGTAAGGGTCTTTCTGGTGGCCGTATTATAGTCTATCCTCCAAAAGTTTCAACTTTCAAGTCCGAAGAAAATATTATTGTGGGAAATGTTTGTTTATACGGTGCTACGGCTGGTCAAGCTTTCTTTAGAGGAATTGCTTCTGAACGTTTCTGCGTACGTAATTCTGGTGCCATTTCTGTTGTTGAAGGTGTTGGTGATCACGGTTGTGAGTACATGACCGGTGGTCGTGTTGTAGTATTAGGTCCAACAGGACGTAACTTTGCTGCTGGTATGAGTGGAGGTATAGCTTATGTCTTGGATGTTTCACAAGATTTTAAAACTAAATGTAATACAGAAATGGTTGATCTAGAAACCGTAAATGATCCACAAGAAATCACGTTCTTACGTGGTTTAATAGAAGATCATCGTCATTATACTAATTCAGAAATAGCTGATCGTGTATTGAAAAACTTTAATCAAGTACTTCCACGCTTCGTTAAAGTTATGCCAGTAGATTATAAAATTGCTTTGGAAAAACAAAAACGGTTGGCAGAAGAAGCTCAAAAAGAAAAAGAACAATCGTTACCGCAAATTTCTGTAAAAGAAGCTGAACCATCGGTCGTTGATATTGAAGATTCTATGGTTGATGAAGAATTAGCCAAGAAGAAACTTGATAAAATTCGTGGATTCATGAAATATAAACGAAAAGTCGATAATTATCGAAATCCTATTAAACGTATCAAAGATTGGAATGAAATTAATGCCCGATTAAGCGAGCCACAACTTAAAGTTCAAGCAGCTCGTTGTATGGATTGTGGAGTTCCATTTTGTCAATCTGATACTGGATGTCCAATTGGAAATATTATTCCAAAATGGAATGATCTTGTATTTAAGAATCAATGGTATGATGCTCTAAATAGGTTAATGATGACGAACAATTTTCCCGAATTTACCGGTCGAGTATGTCCGGCTCCATGTGAAGGAGCATGTGTCTTAGGAATAAATGAATTACCCGTTAGTATTAAGTCTATCGAATGTGCTATTATCGACAAAGGATTTGAAATGGGTTGGATAGTTCCTACTCCACCAGCAATTCGCACTGGAAAGAAAGTTGCTATTATCGGATCAGGCCCAGCTGGACTCTCCGCTGCAGATCAATTAAACAAAGCTGGTCATACTGTTACTGTTTATGATCGTAATGACAGATTTGGTGGACTTTTAATGTATGGTATCCCTAATATGAAGCTTGACAAAAAAGTAGTACAAAGAAGAATTGATCTTTTAGCCGCAGAAGGAATTAAGTTCGTGGCAAATGCCCACGTTGGAGTAGATGTTGATGCGACAAAAGTCAAATTAGAAAATGATGCATTGATTGTAGCTACTGGAGCAACTTGGCCAAGAGATTTATCTATACCGAATAGAAATTTGGATGGTATTCACTTTGCTATGGAATACCTACAACTTAATACACAAAGTCTTTTGGATTCAAATCTTCAGAATAACAAATATATTGATGCAAAAGACAAACATGGTAAAAAAAAATGTTTTCTGATGAAATTTACAAAGCAAATTACCAATATACTGACTCGATTATTTTCTTAATTAGTTATTGTTATTGGTGGTGGTGATACTGGATGTGACTGTATTGGTAATTATTTTATTAAGAATTGTGGATTTTTTTTTTTTATAAAATTTCTCATATTAAATTTATCTTAATTTTCATTTCAATGTATAATTCCTTTAGGCACTGCTTTACGTCACGGTTAGTATTTAACCCGAACCTATCCGTGTTTAATTTCATCTTGGCATTTTTATATAACAAAGTTATTTTTTAGGTGCAAAATCTATTGTAAACTTTGAACTCTTGCCAGAACCACCCGCAAAAAGGTATTTATTCTGTTTCTCATTATTGTATTGATGAGGTTTCAAATGCTAATTGGTTACTTTAAATTTTAAAAGAGCTACTGATAATCCTTGGCCACAATTCCCGCGGGTATTTAAGGTAAGCCATTTTAGAGTGACTTTGTAATTAACCTTGCGATATTGTCTAAACAACATTTTCTTAATCAGCTTGACTATGGTCATTCGGAAGTGCAAATGCAATTCGGAAAAGATCCACGCGAATATTGGTATATACATATTTTTTATTTATTTGTTTGTATTTTTTTAAACGTGAAAAGCTCTTGACTTTTTTTATTGTATATTTTAGCGTGCTATCTAAAGAGTTTGTATCGGATGGTAATGGGAAAGTGAAAGGTACATACATTATCTTTTACGGTGAATATCGATTATTGATGTTACTAATATTAATGCCTATGTATATTTTTAATAGGTATAAATACAATTCGAGTAGATTGGTCTAAAGACGAGTCAGGACGCTGGGTAATGAAAGAAATAGCAGGAACTGAACAGTTTTTCCCAGCCGATTTAGTATTTTTATCAATGGGCTTTTTAGGCCCTGAAGATAAACTACTTAATAGTTTGGGACTAAAAATCGATCAACGAAAAAATATTGAAACTCCAAAAGGCAAATATTCGACTGCAGTCCCTGGAGTTTTTGCAGCAGGAGATTGCAGGCGAGGACAAAGTTTGATAGTGTGGGGAATTAACGAAGGCCGACAAGCAGCACG